CACGACGCAGGGCGAACAGCGTGATGAGCCATCGGAAAAAGCTGCGATTATTCTTCGCCGTCCACATTCAGGCGTTTCAGTCCAATCGTCCTTGCTAGTGGGACTTTCCCGCTGGATTCGAATGTGTTCCCATCGCACGTTTAGTCTTTGCCGTCCGCCACGACGCTGGGCGAACAGTGTGATGAGCCATCGGAAAAAGCGGCGACAGACTCCCGCCACGGAAAACGGCGGAACATCGTCGTGGTGCAGATACATTGCAGTCCTCCCCCACGAATTCGAAAGTGAAGCAAGTGGCATTTTGAAACCACAGCGTGTGCATGCCGACCACCGCCACACTGCGACCCACAGCAGACGCTCCACCACCGCTTCTCCCTCAAACGACAATGTCAGCCCATGCCATGCCGTCTATGGCGGCCGTCCATGATGGCTGGAATGGCGCCGTCTATCGTAGCACGACCGACCTACGCCAATACACACTTCGGCCTCACGTCACATTCACCCCATAGTCACCGTATACAACCGCCCACAGCGGTGCCTGCAGTAACTGTAATCATAATTCACTGCCACCTGATTGTCACCCCAACTCACTGACAAAGACAGGCGATCGGACCCTCCGAACCACCGCATTATTCTGCCTCTGCCTTACCTAAAGGACGGGCAACATTTTCATATTTTATGAACCGCCTTAGCATGCAGACGCCATCTGTGCCTCCGAGGGGTTTCGGTTTCTCACATACCCCACACCATGCAAGGAACCAAAACCCCCTGAACACTGATCGCAAATATCACACAAATCCTTCAACCAATGAAAGACGCCGTTTAAATCTCTATTTTATGCGCCGTTCGAATGTCTTTTCCTGGCCCTCTGATCATCTGCACTCCACGGCCAGATGGAACGTCACATAGTGCGACATAGGGCCAAGCAAAACTTTCCGGTCCGCTAATGGGACTTGGCTCCAGGAATGGCCCCAGTTGTTCCAGAATGAAGAAACGAACCAATACTGCCAGCACCTGTTGTTCGCCCTGGTGGAAACTAAGAAAGTGGAAGTTTCTGGTTTTCTTTTTTTTTTTTGCAAAATCAGTCTTTCCATTTATTGTAACAGTTCCAACCAAGGTCGGGAACCTCACAATTCAACCCGGAGTTATCCTGGCAGCAATAGCCAGTTTAGCTTACGAGCCAGATGCTAGCCAAATTCCATTTAATCTAAACACAAGGCAAAGGCCAAGAAATATCAAGGAACAAAAATGACCAACACGAGACCGTTGTCCTGAAATCCTAGATCCTCAAAAAGAGAGCCACAGGCCAATAACGCCAAACAAGCCAAAAAATTAACTAAAAAAGCCACTGGCCCAAAAACCGAACAACCCACAAACCACTCCTACATATTACCACCTAACTAACTATTATGCTTATACCTATATCTACCTCTGCCTAACACGGCAGACCGGACAAGTTGGACCGAATGGCTGTAACGTGTGCTCCCTCCTCAAGCCAGGTTCCCCCGCCTTCCTCCTGTGGAAACAAGAACCGAGCGACCGGGTTCATAGTGAATCTACTTAACCAGAAGCACTCTGCCATGACAAGCTTACCATTCTCCACCTTTGCCAATTTGCCACCTACGGCCCAGGTTTCCCCAAACCACCTTGACGGACTTCCCTGACTTTTCCTTCTCCAATATGCCTGGATCAGTCGCGTAATGAAGTTTTAAACATTCCTCTTATCTCTTTATTCGCCATTTCCCTGTTTGTGAAGGTTCGCAGGTTCCTTTCCTTCCAAATCACATCGCAACCGACCGCTCGAGTAGCTTGAGCGACATAGCCCCAACCCTTATCAAGGTCGAGGGCGTCAGGAAGACTGCCCAAGAGAACCGATTCCCGATCCCAAGTTACCTTCCTATTTGAGAATTCCTCCTAGAAAACACGCCACCATTCCCAAATTCGACTAGATGCAGGATAGTCTGGTTGGGTGGTGGATTCGAAAGCCCAGTGACATCTCTTGCAAGTAAGCTCAATCTTGAGGCCCCTGTGACGCCCAACCTCACGCCCAGCGCGACTGCCTGATCGGAGTGCGATGGGGGCCAGGAAGTGCGCAAAAGGGTGTGTGCCAAGGATTTTAGGAAAGTGGGCGTGGAGTCCCAGGTTAGAACTGAGATCTCCTGTGACAAGTTTCGGGGGTGAAAGCGCAAAAAGGGTACGTGCAGGTCGTGTCTGGCGCTCTTTGCCCTTGGAAGGCTGAAGGCGGTCCGCCTCTCGGGGTTTGTGCATAGAAGAGAGGCCGCAAATGTTGTGCAGCATAGGGCAGATGGTACGCACAGTGCATATCAGACTAAAGATCCCGGGGTACTCTTCCGTAATCACAATGCCGACAGGTCTAAACACTCTCGCATTTCGAACGAAATCAATCAACATTGCCCCTCACAACGAACTTCCAATTTCGTCAGCTTAAAACCCAGGAGATTACCATCGCCTCTGGTTTCGCCTTCAGGGTCGGTCACGTGGTTTGGCCAGTTGTCGGTGCTGCTCGAACAAGCTTCGGATTCCGTCGAGGCGGGCCGTAAGCGGAGGCTGTGCAATCGGTGCTCAGCTTCGGTTCGAGTTTGTTGGGTAGTTCCCGAACCCCGGCGCGCCCGGTGATGCTGACAACCCTCGCACGGCGGGCTGGGCCAATAGCGAGCTATGGAATTCCACGATACCACTGTGAGTTGGTGAAATGGGAGGAGGAGATGGAAGGGAGGGAAACGGGTAGTGATAACAACGAAACCCGAGGATATGTAATATCAAGTATTGTCCGTATCCGGGTAGTCTGGGCCTCGAGGGTCGCTGGTTATAGCCCAATGGAAATCCCCCGCGCACAGTCGATCATGCTCCGTCAAATAGGGAAATTCCGGGTTTCTCAGGTTTCCCCGTAGTCCAAGCTGTTCACCTTCCCAATACTCGCGATATTTGGGGTCCCGCAGGTTCTCGTAGCCGGACGCCCAAGAGGGAGATCTCGCAGCCGTATCCGTTTTGTAAGCTGAATCCCACGCATCCTTTCACGGGGTTAAGCTGACTTACGCAGACGACGCGTACGTGGCGACTCGGCTTTCTCGAGATCGCGAACGTACGCGCGCGCGCACGTAAGGAACATCCAATTGTGTGTTCCGTGTGCCAGTCGCGTTCAGCATAAGTGCAAATATCCTACCAATCACTACATGCCATACATGTGACGCAAAAGAAGGGAAGAGGGAGCAGGACAATCAACTCATCACAACACTCCTGCATGTTTAACGACTAAACCCTAGACATCCAAATCGAGCAATTCCAATCAGATTTGAGCATATAGCTCACGCATGTGATCATTGGGCAGAGACGAAACAAGCATCGTAAAACAGATTGGAAATTCGAAAAGATCGCTAATAAAAAGGAATTTACATTTATTTCATGCATACATATCAAGTTAAACAACAAGGAAAATCTGAGACGATGCATAAGAGAAGTCCAAAAGAGAAGGGCCGTGATAAAGAAATGGGCCTTACAAGGATCCAGAATTATACAGATGAACAAAGGAAGTAGAAACAACGAAAAAGAACCTTATCCCGCACCCGCGCAACCTCTCTCTCTTTCTCTCCCTCTCTCTCTCTCTCTCTCTCTCTCTCTCTCTCTCTCTCTCTCTCTCTCTGCTGTCGATGCGGGCAGTCCGTCGCCTCGCATCAACACTCACGATACCGGCAGTCCGTCGCCTCGTATCAACGCGGAGTTGTCACCTCGCTTGGTTCGAGCATGCAAGCCAGGTTCGCCCGTGCGCCACAGTCCGTCGCGGTCCCGCACGTTAACCCCGCGTACCCGACACCAGCTCGTTGGATCGCCCGACTCTCATAATCACTCACCTTCCAAACTTTGCTCGTTAGCCGACCCTCACTGATCGCGCTAACCTCGAAATTCTTAGAAAGCCAACTAATCGCGCGTGCGAAATTTATAGCATGCATGCCTGCACGAAAGGTACGGGATTAAGCCCAGGTGGACAAGAAAGGAAGAGAGGAAGTGCCTACGTCTGCATGGCCAGGTCGCGGCGTGGGGTTCGTAGCCACACTCCACGCATCGATCCGGTCATGCAGGCGCCAATTAGAACAAAGTATATGAGACGAGAAAGAAGAAGAAGAAGGCGGGCAACATATGGAAACCAAGAAAGAAGAAAGATTACAGATACGATCGTGCCCGCCAAAAGCGACAGTTGCACAAGATTAAAGGCGCGATCTAGTCAGAGCCAAGTTCCCAGTGCAGCAAGATGAGCGCAGACGTGGCGCAACAAAATTCAGAGTACCTAAATTCCTATCCTAAGTGTTAGTTGCACAGGGAAATTTTGAAAAAGCAGAAAAGAAAAACAATTCCGCGAGCTCGTGGGGGCTCGACATTAGTTGAAAATGCAAAACGAGATTCCCCCGCGATGATCGCGCCAAACACAGTAGAACAAGAAAGAAGCTATGGTGCAGTTATTTCTTGTGCGCCGTCATGGCGCGACCATCGAACCGTCGGTACGAGATTTTCCCGACATCGATTTGACAACTTTCAACAGAAAACGGAAAGAAACGAGGGCATCCGTGCAACTAGCTCGCCCGACCCATCTTTCCACGGCTCACCCCTTCGACCTGTCGTATTCCCCCCTGGCAGCCTCGCGCAGAAAGTCGCGCGGTTACAGAAAGTAGTTCGTCACATATGTGACGCCTAGGGGGTTCCAATCTTGAGCAAGCTCCTGCCACTTGTCTGTACCGCGGCCCGTTGACTGGTTTCGACTCTCTCCATGGAGTAATCTCTTCGGTCTTAGCAACCTTTGTCGGACGGTGCAGTCGTGTCAATCCGTCCGCGTTTCTGTGTCGCTCCGTCTTCCGATGGATGATGTCGAAAACGTAGTCTTGCAGTCGTACTGCCCAACATCCAATCATGCCCGTGTAATTAGTGAACTTCTTGAGAGCCAGCAAGGCTCGTGATCCGTGACGAGGAGAAACTTCTGTCCGTACAGATACAAATGGAAGTGCTGAAGTCCCCAAACCACCGTGTACCATTCTCCTTGCGGAGCCGAATCGTTCCTCCTCTCGTCCGATACAGTACGAGATGTGTACTCAATGACGTGTTCGCGACCGTCGTTCCCCTTTTGCACCAGGATAGCGGAGATTGCCTCAGGCTGCCAATCTGTGATGAGTATAAATTGCTTGGCCAGGTCCGGCGGAATCAAAATAGGCGCTGTAGCTAGTGCCCCCTTCAAAGTACTGAAGGCCTGCTCACACTCCGCGTCCCAGCTGAGGGGCTGGTCCTTCCGTAGCAAGTTCGTTAGAGGCCGTGCGATAGCGGCAAAGCCCTTGATAAATCGACGATAGTACGAAGCCAGCCCCAGAAAGGCTCGTTGCGTTAGCGATGTGGGGGTCGGGGCGTCCCGTATGACCGCGACTTTTCTCCAATTGGGCCTCAAGCCTCCTCGAGTTACCACGTAGCCCAGGAACGAGATCTCATAAAGGAAAAACTCGCTCTTTTCCAGCGCAATCTTGAATCCAGCGTCCCGTAGGGCTCCCAGTGTCCATTTGATATGCTGTGCGTGCCCGTGGAACGATTCTGAATAGACCAGGATATCGTCCATATACACAATGACGCAAAAACTGATCATCCCCTGAGTCAGTCGAGTCTTGTTGACGAAGTTTTGAAATGTTACATTCATCGCTCTCTGAAACGTAGCCGGCGCATTGCAGATCCCCATCGGGCATCGGACCCACTGGCAGGTGCCTTCAAACAGGACAAAAGCCGTCTTGGGCCGATCCTCCTCTTTAACTAGGATGTGATGGAACCCATGACGAATATCAAACTTGCTAAAATAATTAGCATACCCAATCGCGTCAATCAAATCGACAATGCGGGGAAGGGGATACACATCCTTGATCGTGATATCATTTAGTTTGTGATAATCGATGCAAATGCGAATCGACCCGTTTTTCTTCGGTACTAGGACTACGGGGAATGACCATGGTCCCGTGGCTGGTTCAATCCATCCGTTAGTTTCGGATTCCCTAATGCTTTGTAAGGCTGTCTTTCGTTCCGCGAGGGAATATCGGTATGGTTTACAGTGGATCGGAGGATGATTTTCGGTTTGAATCTCATGTTGAATGACTAACGGTAGTTCGATATCCGTGTCCGTCACGCTGATCGCTCCCTGATATTCCTTCAAAATTTCGGCGATTAGATGGTGAATCTCGTTGTGCACGTAATGTGGCACGTGCAACTCGTAGGGTTGGCCTAGTATTTGGATAGTAATTTGCTGTGTCGATTCCGCCACCGTTCCCGGGCGGGGGCACAAAAATGAATGAATTGTCCGATCGCCAGGAGAACACCGTGGCCATCATTTGGGCATCTTCCTCCCGGATCGCCACGTGTTTCTCCGGGGTTATCCCGTCGCAGACATCCTGCCATCGTACGTTATTTTTCAGGATCTTGATCCCGAGATCGTGAGGCCCCGTGTCACGTCGCGCAGGGGGTTCCAAAGCTTTGCCTTCGGCCCCTAATCTTAGCAATCTTATCTCTTTTCTCGAAGTCAACAAGGAACAGGGTAGCTCCGTAATATCACAAAAGGCTCTCTTATCCCTGAATCTCGCAAGCAGTGGAGTGGTGCCCTCGTATAAGGTCCGAGGGGGTTCCAAAGAATCGGCCATCCGGGAAATTTGCATAAGCGGTTCGCCCGAAATTAATGCGCGTGTTCTCTGGATGTTTCCTTCCGTGAGTTTGGATGTTTTCGTGGTTGCTTGTCGAATCGGATAGCGGACGCGTTGCTGCACTAACTCCCAAATTACTAACCCGTCTTCGTCGCTATTATTGGTGTCACTCGAGAGGTTTGGCTCCTCTGTCTGGTGATCACTTCGTTCCGCAAGTTTCTTCCAAGCGATCATTCGGAGAGCTCCTCCGGGCACCGGAGGCGTTTTTTGGGTTGCCTCTGCCACCGTTCTGAGAGTCAATCTCATAGGGATGGCGTATGGTTTCCCTCCCGTATTCCGAAGGACAATCGATCGTTTTTCGAAGTCTAGGTTGGCCCGCAGCGCCGTGAGAACAGGTAGTCCCAAAAGAACGTCATACGTGCTTACATCTAATACCACGACATCTCCCAGGGCATGTACCTTTCCCAATCGAAACGCCACGTTGGTCATTCGTCCCACTGTCTTTATTTTTTCTTCATCCGTAGAGACGAGATGATCCCTCTCTGTCAGCATGATCAAATTTTTTCTTCTTCCCGCTCTTTCTACTACCCTTTGCAAGATGGCCAAGACGGAGGCTCCTGAGTCGATGATGGCATTGTACGGGATTCCCCAGACGTTGATGTCACATTCGGCGGATTTCCACGAGATTGCTTTGCTCCGCAGGAAGTGATAATCTTTTTGTATTAGTCCCAATCGTATAGGTTTCGACGTACTGGCAGGGTTCGGGTTGTCGTCTTGGGCAGGGGCTTTTCCTTTCGTGTTCGCCGTTCTCGCAAGAGCAAATTCTTTTCTGTTCGCCTTGCAGTGTTGCAACATGCGCTCGTTAGCCTGTTCCGAAATGGATAACAGATGTCCGATCAGGAGGGGAATGCAGTGATCCAAAGCGCGGACGACGTTTAGAACATCTATTTCCCCCGTGACGAAGGTGGGTCCTCTGGATTCCATTTCCCTTGGAGAGGGTCTCCGTTCCGCCACCTCTCGCTGTTCATGGGCGGGTGTAATGGTTCATTCCCAACCCCGGATATCCTAATGTCACGTATTGGTCTAGAGGAATAAGCTTTGCAGCTTCTTCAGTAGTGGCTAACGTACTCCCTCCTTCCATTTATTCCAACTCTTCGTGGCCCATTAGCGATGGGTGTCGTGGCCACTGGTGTACCTCCGACTCGAGCTTGCGCGGGTCGATGGGGGAAGCCTCGAGCTATGTAACCAGGCTGGTGACACGTGTAGCAAACACTCGGGTTGTCTGCTGCGCCGCCTATTGCTGGAGCCAGGGCCAATCCGGGCTGTATCGGCGCGGCTCTTACGGCAATGGGACTCATCGATCTCATCAACGACTCTATCCTAGCGTTGTGCTCACGCTGCTCCTTTTTGCTTTCCTCTATCAAGGTAACCAATGTTTTGGTCAGCTCTAATATCGCAGTCGATTCACTTGATCGTGTAGGACTTTCGAGCGGGGGCTGGGGAGCAGTCATCACAGGAACAGGTACCCCTGTGATTGCGTTAGGAGTCGATCGTTTAGGTATGATTTGCTCGAGATATGTGACAGGACCCGACACGAATCCCATGTTTTCGAATTTGTTTTGTAGCGCGGTCAGTTTTGCTTTGGCTCTGGCTAATTCAGACGAATCTCCCTCCCTAGGGTAGTCTTCTCCTTCCAGGAAGCTTGTGGCGCCATGATCTGTTGCAGTGTGTGGTTAAAGGGGGAGAACTGTTTCCGCAGTTTCACCCTCATTGTCCTACTGCGGAGCCCGTCAATAAACAAATCTCTCCCTACCTGTTCTCCTCGCTCGGTTTTAACAAACATTCGTTAGAACCGATTGCGATATTCAGTGACGGATTCGAGTGGTTTTTGGACTCGATCCTTGATCATGAAAAGAGCTTGTTCTGGATGAATGTAATCGAAACGATTCAAAAAGTCCTGTTCGAATGTCGGAAGATCGGTCCAAACGTATGTGTTGAACCAATGATGCGCATCCCCTCCCAATCGGGCGGGGATATTGATTCGCGCTTCATCATTGTCGTACTGCTGCGCACGGAGCGTGGCCAGCCACGCTCCAGCGAGATAATGCGCAGGATCGAAAAGGTAGAGATCGGGTGGGGCCACAGGTGCCCAAGACCGTGGTGCTGGTGCCTGATTGGGTTGGTTTGGATTTTGCTGGTTGGCGTTCCTGTTGATTGCGTGCCGAGCAGCCGACCTGCTCCGGGTTACTATAGGGTCACGTCGTGGCGCGTTCCGCCGCCTGGGTCGCCCTTTGTTAGCCAGATCGTTCTACGCTACCTACCTTTTGGCCAATCCCGGGGCCTTGCCACGTATCGCTCCAATACCAACCTCACGCCCAACGCGACTTCCTGATCGGAGTGGGATGGGGCCCCGGAAGTGCAGAAAAGGGGGTGTGCCAAGGATTTTAGGCAAGTGGGCGTGAAGTCCCAAGTCAGAACTGAGATGTCCTGTGACAAGTTTTGGGGGTAAAAGAGCAAAAAGGGTACGTGCAGGTCGTGTTTGGCGCTCTTAGTCCTTAAAAGGATAAAGGTGGTCCGCCTCTCGGGGTTTGTGCATAGAAGAGAGGTCATAGATGTCGTGCAGCAGAGGGCACATGGTACGAGCAGTGCATCTCAGACTAAAGATCCGGGGGTACTCTTCCGTAATCACAATGTCGATAGGTCTAATCTCGGGGTACTCTTCCGCATTTCGAACGAAATCAATCAACATTGCCCCTAACAACAAACTTCGAATTTCGTCAGCTTAAAACCCAGGAGAATACCATGGCCTTTGGTTTCACCTTCGGGGCCGGTCGTGCGGTTCGGCAAGTTGTCGGCGCCGCTCGTAATAGGCTTCGGAATCCGCTGAGGAGATTGTCGGGTAGTTCCCGAAGTTCGTCGCGCCCGGTGATGCTGACAACCCTCGCACGGCGGGCTGGGCGAATAGCGAGCTATGGAATTCCACGGTACCACTGTGAGTTGGTGATATGGGAGAAGGAGATAGGAAGGGAGGGAAACGTGTAGTAATAACGGCAAAACCCGGGGATATGTAATATTGAGTATTGTCCGTATCTGGGTAGTCCGGGCCTCTAGGGTCGCTGGTTATAGCCCATTGGAAATCTCGATCATGCTCCGTCAAATAGGGGAATTCCGGGTTTCTCAGGTTTCCCCGTAGTCCAAGCTGTTCACCTTCCCAATACTCGCGATATTCCCGGTCCCTCAGGTTCTCGTAGTCGGACGCCCAAGAGGGAGATCTTGCAGCCATATCCGTTTCGTAAGCTGAATCCCACGCATCCTTTCACGGGGTTAAGGCTGACTTACGCAGACGACACGTACCTGGCGACTCGACTTTCTTGAGATCGCGACTGTACGCGCGCGCACACAAGGAACAGCCGATTGGTTCCGTGTGCCGGTCGCGTTCAGCATAAGTGCAAATATCCTACCAATCACTACATGCCATACATGTGACGCAAAAGGAGGGAAGAGGGAGCACGACAATCAACTCATCATAGCACTCCTGAATGTTTAACGACTAAACCCAGACATCCAAATTGAGCATATAGCTCACGGAGGTGATCATTGGGCAGAGATGAAACAAGCATCGTAAAACAGATTGGAAATCTGAAAAGATCGCATAAGAGACGATGCATAAGAGAAGTCCAATGTTATGACCCGGACCAATTGCGAAGTACAAATTC